GGACATAGGACAGAGAAAGAAGGAAACCATGCGGCTTGCTGTCCTCTAGTTCCTCACAGTGTCCATACACGCTTTGGACACTCAGTTCCGATCACCAATGGCGTAATGAGGAAGAAGGTGAAACCGGAGCGGACACAAAAGCAAGGGAAAGGGACTTGATGACAGGAGGAAGGGAGACTGGGCCCATTGAGGGAAGATCGCAGTGAGGCTGTTTGACCCAGAGAAGACCTGAGAGCTACTCAATCACATCTTCAGACGCAGGCCAGGCCCTCATAGCAGGGGCTCTTGTTTCTCATTGCACTGCCCTAGCAGCTAGGGAGGGAAGCTCCCCAGAGAGGGGAAATGGGCCTTGACCCTCCTCGCCCCAGCAGGGTTCCGCAGTAATCTTATTTTGTCCCCTGGATCAGCCACTGTCTTCATCAGAGATTCTTAACCTCTGGGGGGACCTGGGCCCTTTTGAAATTAGAAACCCTATTTCCCCCAGGAAAAAGAATGTCCACATGTCCGCAAAATTGTCCACATAGTATCCTGTGCTTACACACTCCAGGCTAAGAACCCCTGCTCCATGCACCGATGGCCAACCAGGCTGTTTTCCAGTCCAGACTTTCCTTCTGAACTCTAAACCACACGTTCAACTTTCTTCTGCAAACCTCCACGGAAATCACCCAACAACACCTCGAAGTGTCAAGTAACTAAAACTGAACTTAAAATCCTCCTAAATCTGCTCCACCTCCCATGTTCCCTATCTAGGGACTAGAACTGTCTGTCATTCCCTTAATTGCCCAAGTCCCAGACCTACTGTCAACCTGGACCAGTGGTTCACAATGCTGGCTGCGTGTTAGAATCTGCTGTGGAGGTTTTTAAAACAGAAGCCTGGGCCTCCCCTCTGACCCCCTGAATCAGAGCCTCTGGCATGGGGTCCAGCATGGTCAGTCTGAAAGGTCGCAGAGAACCACTATCCCAGTCAGAACATCCTCTGTCAGTTTCACTCCAGTCACAAAATCATGTGGCTCCCACCTACTGAGTGTCATGGCATTTATTTTGACTAGGTTATCCTTAAACACAATACCAAAGTCAAAGTTTAAAATTGGACAATCAGAGGAAAGTTCCCTTCCCATCATCATCTCTCAGCCACTGGCCAGCCTGCCTCCACTCCGACGTCCGCACCTCCTTCCCCTGCAGCCCATGTAAACCTTCTGAACCACAAATCTGACTGTCATTCCTCTGCCTAAGGCATTTTAGTGCCCTCCCCCGTCACTCCCAGGATAAAGTGCACACTCTTAGCTTGTCACACAAGGCCCCAGTGTCAGTCCGGCCCCTGCCTGCTTCTAGCCCTGCATCTCCCCATGCCCCACCATGGCCGCACCATGCAATGCACAAAGCACCCCAGTTGCTAAGCTGCCAACAGGTCCTCTGCCTGAATTCCTTTGTTGCCCCTTTGGGGAGACGTCCCAGACCAGACCTGGCTGGATTAATTGGGTGCCCCTTCTCCAGGTGCCCAGAGCCCCTCCTGCTTACCCCTAAAACTAGATTAACCACTAGTAGATTAACCACTACTTTATTGAGATATTATTTACTTAACAAATAAATAACCAGAAGTTATAAATACTCTCCATGGAAATAATAAATTAGTGTTTATTTTTGACAAAGGTGTCAAAGTAATTCAAAGTGAAAACCATAGTATTTTCAACAAATGGTGCTGAAAACGTGGCTGTCTGTATGAGGAGAAAATAAGCCTTGATCCTTACATCAAACCATACATAAAAATTAGTTTGAATGTGTCAGAGACCTAAACAAAAAGCCCAAACCATACAATTCTAGAAGAAAATATAGGAGAAAATCTTTGCGATCTCGCCTTAAGATAGGCAAAGATTTTTTAATATAAAAAGCATGAACAGTCAAGGAAATGTTTCAATAAAACTGGATGCTGTGGCAATTGGAAACCTTGTCTCTTTGGAAGGTACCATTAAGAAAATGGAAATACAAGCCATGAGCACCACAAACCCTTCCACGTTGCTGGTGGTAATGTGACTAGTACGACCACCTTGAGAAACAATGTGACAGCCTCCTACAAAATAAAAAAAAAAAAAATAACACCTCCCCATACAATGCATTCCCACCCACTTCCAGGCATTTTACTCAAGAGAAATGAAAACATGTCCACACAAAGAGTTTTATAGGAATGTTGAAGTCAGTTTTACTCACAATGCTCCCAAGCTGGCAACAACCCACATGTCCCCCTGTGGGGTCCTGAGAGGGTACCTCTCAGCCCAGCGTGGCCTCCTTCAGTCCATCCATCAACATCCAAACAGACAACCTGCGGTTTTCCATACACCGGCACACTACTCAACAGTGATCAGGAGGGAACTACTGACACACATTCTAGTGAATTCCTGAAATTTGATCTTGTCTCGGCATCCATTTTGAGTGTAGGGTTAACCGTCTGATACTATAATCGAAGCAGGGCTTAGTCGCTTTTGATGGTTTCCTGCTCTCTGCCTCCTCCCAGTTCCTCAATGCAGCCCATCCGGATGTCCCACCCTCTATCACCTCCTGGTAACCACTTCCCTATGGGACATATACATACAGCCCACCAGATTCACCTCACTGACCCCCATGGACTGCATAGACATGCCACAGTGACCGCTCCTAAGTCATGGCGTGGCCCTATGGAATCCAGTCTGCTTGCTCTAAACGAACCAGTTAGAACCCCCTTGGGCACACTGTTTGAGTAATGCCCTGGGATCCCATAAGGGCCTCAGCCCACAGGCTTCTCTCTCTGGCTCTCCACTGGCCGGCTGGGTACAACGCCCCCAAGTCCTTCTCCATGGCCCTCACTGGTAGTCCTCTGAGGATCTGTAAGTAATACAACATTGCTGTTAGTTTGTGTGTTTAGTCGTGTTGCCTACTCTGTGCCTCACCTGACACACCCAAACCTAACGTTTCCCGGGCCAGGGCTCTCCCAGGGAGTGGCCATCTTGGTGGGAATGAACTGGACACCCGTCAGACAAGAACCACAAGGTCATCTGCCACTATAAATACGTTTCCTGTGAGAGGGACGCCTGCTTATAGTGGGACACTTAGGCATTAGGTAGTCTGCCAGGATGAAGAAGTGCGGGTGAAAGGTGCACTGTAATCACCTGCCCAAACCCCCAAGTGCGGTCAGGGCAAAGCTGGAGTTTATAGCCTGGTCCAGACAGAGACCTCGGTCAGGATCAAATTAGAGAAAATATAACACACACGACCACATGGATGAATCTCAAAGGCATTGTGCTAAGTAAAAGAAGCTGGGCACAAAACATCATATACTGTATGGCTCTGTTCATGTGAAATTCTGGGATGGACAGAGTATAGTGACGGAAATCAGATGGGGAGTGTCTGGAGCCAGAGGAAAGGGGGGCATGAAGGACTGACTGCAAAGGGCCGGGAGGGAACTTTTGGGGGGAGTGAAATTGTGCTTCCTGCATGGGAGCAGTGGTCCGCCTAATTTCATTTGTCAAAAGTCATGGAACTCTGGCTGGGCGCGGTGGCTCACGCATGTAATCCTAGCACTCTGGGAGGCTGAGGCGGGAGGATCGCTCGAGGTCAGGATTCGAGCCCAGCCTGAGCAAGAGCGAGACCCCATCTCTACTAAAAATAGAAAGAAATTATCTGGACAACTAAAAAAATATATATAGAAAAAATTAGCCAGGCATGGTGGCGCATGCCTGTAGTCCCAGCTACTCTGGAGGCTGAGGCAGGAGGATCGCTTGAGCCCAGGAGTTTGAGCTTGCTGTGAGCTAGGCTGACGCCACGGCACTCTAGCCTGGGCAACAGAGGGAGATTCTGTCTCAAAAAAAAAAAAAAAAGTCGTGAAACTCCATACTTCCATGGAGAGTATTTATAACTTCTGGTTATTTATTTGTTAAGTAAATAATATCTCAATAAAGTAGTTTTGTTTTGTTTTCATGTAGAGGTTGCTGTGACGCATGGCGGGCAACACAGGTGCAGGGATTCTGCTCAGGGCTTTATAGAAAAGTATTTGGTTTGGAGGAGGGGGCAGGGCTGTCTTCACGCCAGCGCCGCCTCCCCCGGAGCCCGCCAGGGGGCAGCGTCGGGCCCGCCGGCCACGCGCTAGTCCAAGTCCCAGGCGGGGATCGCCGGAGGAGGGTGCCTGGCCGGGCGGAGGGACTCGGACCCCTGTGTGCGCCGGGCGCCCCGTGGATCGGGCCACCGCTCCCGCCCGGCCCTCCCGGGGCAGGGCCGCGGGCTCCGAACCCCGCCTCCCGCACGCGTCGCCCCGCCGCTCCCCGGGCCTGGCGTCCGAGGAGGGAGCCTGGACTCCAGGGCACTGTGGACAGTGACCTCCCTCCAGCCCTGCGGCCGCCTAGGGCCAGGCGTTCGTCCTACCCGCGGAACGCGGAGAGGGGCGGCAGGACCCCCGCGGGCTGCTTCCAGGATGGAAGGCGCTGTCGCCCGCGGGTGCCCGAGAGAGCAGCGCCCCGGGGGACACAGGAACTGCTCCGGGCGCCACTTCTCAAGGCCCGCAGAGCGAGTTGCCGCAGCGCCTGTCCCCCCACTGCCCTTCCACGCAGTGAAGCCCGTCGTCTCGGCCCTAGGAAATCCCCGCCCACAGGAAGCTCAGAAATGCTCATTTCGAACGACGAAAGAACTATGGCCTAGAAATGTGTTTTAATTGCCCCTCGTGCTAAGAAGGCTGTTCGCCGGGCGTGGCTGGCCAAGGAGGGCGCTGCTGGGGCAGTGAGCGCGAATGCGGGCGGGGCGAGATCGGCCACTGCCCGGCGTTCCACGGCCCGGGGGACACCGGGCGCCTCGTGATCCCTCTGCGGTGGCCACAGCTCGCCGCGGGCTACACAGGGCGGCCCCGCCCGCCCCGGTGCTCGTTCCCATCCCTCTCGGCCCCGCCTAGCGCACAGAGAGGTCTGCCTAATTTTCTGGACACAGCGGAGAGGCGACCGATCCCCTCCGTCTCCTCCCGCCGCCACCGGGGCCGCCTCGGATGCGGGCCGGACGCTGGCGACGCTGCAGGTGCAGCCCAGAGGCGGCGCGCGGGTGAGTCGGCCCCGCCGCTCGAAAATGCTGATGGAGGAGGGGGGAGCAGGGGGGACGGCGATTAGAGACCAGCAGGTGCCAGAGAACGCGAGGAAGGCAGGGGAGCTACGGGGCCGCATTCTCATCCGCAGCTTTGCCTAAACCGGGGTCCGCCGGCTCTGAGCACTGGCCTGCTCCGGGCCCAGGGGAGACTGGAGGGTCGCGCTGACATTTTCCCCGAAAGGGAAGCCGTGGGTATACTCCAATTTTACAGCACTGGCTCTGGGCCCAGACAGAGGCCTGGAGTTGAATTCTCTTCTCCTACAGGCAGGTGTTCTTAGGTGGTTGTATAACCGTGCTGAGTCAGTTTCCCCATCTGTACAGTAAGAGTACAGGCCGGGCGCGGTGGCTCACGCCTGCAATCCTAGCACTCTGGGAGGCCAAGGCGGGTGGATTGTTTGAGCTCAGGAGTTTGAGACCAGCCTGAGCAAGAGTGAGACCCCCGTCTCTACTAAAAATAGAAAAATTAACCGGACATGGTGGCACACGCCTGTAGTGCCAGCTACTAGGGAGGCTGAGGCAGGAGGATTGCTTGAGCCCAGGAGTTTGAGGTTGCTGTGAACCAGGCTGACACCATGGCACTCTAGCCCGGGCTACAGAGTGAGACTCTGTCTCAAACAAACAAACAAAAATCCTATACTGCTACCTCACAGGGTGTGAGGTTGAAACCAAAGATCCTGCAGAGCACTGAGCGGGAAGCCTGTGAGCTTGGATAGATCGGTGTAATTTTAGGCGAGACGAATCTCCGCTTCCAGCCTTGGGGCTGCACTTCAGGCTGCATCCCCAGGATGACAGGATGGCCTTCTGGCCCAGAAGTTGCAAGGGGGCATGGACAAGGCAAAGGTGACCCTGCAGGCAAGCACTGAGCCTGCCGGTTAGTGGCTGTCAGGGCCTTTGCGTGAGACACAGTGTGGCCAGCACAGTTGCTGCTTTTCTTGACGAGGACATTCCTCACCATTCCTTCTCAAACGTCATTCTTCACCCCCAGATACCTTCTCCTCAGAAAACTGGGAACCACTGTTCTAATCATGAACATCTCTAAACTTGCTGCTACAGAGCAGTTTCCATTTTGTAGACGCGAACTTCGAGGTCATGGATGGTTAAATGACGTGCGCCAGTTGAGGAACATACCTTGCCCTCTTCCGCTTTCCTTGGTGTGCGTTTAATGCTGCGTGTTGCAATCTCTGTCCAGCAAAGGATAAACGTATACCTGTTTGTGCAACCAGAGAAAGGAGGCCTCAGATCTTCCAGAGCGTCCTGCAGGGCTTACTGCAGGCCTCAGGGCCAAGGTGAGGATGAAATACGACACCAAACGGGCAAATGGACTTGGGGAGCCCTCTCACCCTCTACTCCTGGGATGGACCCTGAAGACTGGAACAAGATCTTGGCCTTGGGGAACATGGCTCTTGCACGTTTCAGTCCGGAGGAGCAGCCTTTGGTTGTTGGGCCCCCTCCTCTTTTCTCCTCCTGAAGTCTTAAAACCTGCTCCACCTGCCAGATCTGGAGAAGGGGCTGAACCTTGGACCCCCTGCCCTCTGCCATAAGCGCCAACCCCGCATCTTTGTCAGGACTAAGTTTAAATCTGAAGATAAGGACATTCCTTGGAATGAGCCACACCCACTGGCGGCCGTGCTGGACCGTGCTTGTTCACTGCTGTCCCCAGAACAGACACAGTGCTGCGCGCACCTTGAGCGCCGAAGAAACATGGGGCACCAGAAGCCGGCCCGGTGGGCCGGACAAGTGTCTCTGCTCACCCGTGGCTGGCCCGAGCCGTCTCTCTCTTCGTCCCCTCCCCTCCTGTCGCCCCACTGACGTGATCCCTTCCCCAGCGTCCCCGCGCGCCCGGCGCTATGGTTTCTGCTTGGCTGTTCCCTTGTCTCCCTGCTGCCTGCCCTGCACCTTCGCCGGCACACGCGCGGGATGCCTCTATCTCGGTGGTTACCAGCGCCCGCTCCCCTGCCCCGTAGTCTCCGCGACCTGGAGCTGTCTGTCCCTTCATCCTGACGCCTTCCGCTGCCCTGTCTTCCGGAGACCCACACCCGGGGGACTGCAGGGTTCCGACCCGCGCGTGGCCGGCCCCAGGGCAGAGCCCTATTTGCATAAGTGGGCAGGCCCGCATCCTGATTGGGTTTAGGTGTGGATTCGCCCCGCCCGTTAGCGCTGGCTCCTCCCCTAGGATGTGGGGCAAGATGGGGCCACGAGCGCGGCTCCTCCAGCCTGGCCTGGGCCCTAGGAGCCGTGGGGCGGGCGGCCGGCGGGTCTCGCGCCGTAGAACTCCCGCACTTGCTCTGGTCAATGCCCCACTATGTTGCCACCTACTCGGGGGAACCTCCTACTCTGTCCTTGACAGACGGGCTGCAGTGGGCCCGTCCATGCTGGACTCGAGGGCCTCAGATGGACCCGAATGGATCCCAGCCCCCGGGAACCTCAGCCAGGCGGGGCAGAGAAGTAATCAGTGCCCAGCTCTGCACCGAGTCCTTCGGAAACGGGGTTAGGGAAGGCTCCTTGGGGGTCAAGGCAATTGAGCAAAATGGATGATGAAAGCAACCACTTATAATGTCTGCATTATTTTTAATTTTTTTTTTTGCATTTCATCTTCACAACAGCCCGAGATAGGTACTTATTTTACAGATGAAATATAAACTGTGGTTCAAAGAGATTAAACGTTCTTTCACCATGGGCAAATGACAGAGCAAGGACTTGAACCTGCTTTACTGGATGCCCCAGCTGGTTTTAACTCCATGTTATAAGCACAATGGCAAGGGAAACAACGCGAGCAAGGAGGCTGCGGTGAGAAACAGCACAGAATAGAGGAGGAGACTACGGAAAAATTATGATTACAGAAAAATGATGTTTCTGGAGCACAGAGTTCCACTCACAAAGTCTTGAGAGTGGAGGCTGGGGAGGACAGTGGGGCCATGGAGGGCCTTGTCAGCCACAACCAGGCGTTTGGACCTGGCCCTGAGTGTGGTGAGGGGCTAGTCCCCACCCGGAGGTTTTACAAAGGGGAGCGATGCACCCTGTCTGCCGCAGTTAGGAGGAAGGATGCAGGTGGGAAAGGCAGTGCAGAGAGCTGGGTGCAGTCTACTCCAGATCTTGCTTTTTGACATCTTTTTCATCATGCACAATGGGAAAATGATTCCCATTGCCAGGCATGCTGGATAACATAGGAGGGGACTGTTGGTATCCGGCAGCAACCAACCCAAGGACTTCGGCCATCTGAAGTCCCAGCATAGCCATCCCTAGGGCTGAGGAATCCCAGGCACATGTACCCAGTCACAGCATACCCAGACTCAGATAATGACAGCAGAGAATGAAGAACAAGAGCTGGATTCAAGGAATGGCAAGAAAGCAAAGTTGGTATCACATGGTGAAGGGGCAAAGGAGGAGGAAGATGACTCCTGGGTTTCTGGACTAAACAGCTGGACAGACTCTGGGCTTGAGGTAGGTGCAAGAAGCCCAGCAGGCAGTGGAGTTGGGCTCTGGATCAGACAGACTGGGTCCAACTTCCAGTTTCACCAACTTAGTAGCTCTGTTACCTTGAACAAAAAGCCTGTTCATTCATCTGTAATACAGGGATATTAATAGGATTATAGGGTCCTTGTGAGAATGAAATGAGATAATGTGCAATGTCTGGAACATAGTAATGTATCGAATAAATGGCAATGCTAGTACTCTTGTCATATTATTATTTATTATTGTTATCAATAAGTCTGAAGCTCAGCAAAGAAGCAATTTCAGAAGCCATCGAGTGGGAATTGAAACCATGAGAATAAATGAGATGATCCAAAAAAAAGTGTATATGGTGAGAAGGGAGGACGTCGAACACCAGAAACTCTGACACTGACGGGGTGGACAGAGGAAGCAGAGCCTAGGGACAAAGGAACAGAGGAGGAGATAAGCCATGAGACCCTGGTATCACGGAAGCCACATGTAACAGCCACACAGTTGGTCCTCTGCCTCACTTCCTCTTCCTAACAGAACCAGATGTTGCTCGAGGAAGCACCCCCTCTCAGCAGCACTTCAGAGGGGGCAGCCCACAGTCCCAGCTCCAGCCCAGGAGGTGAGTCCTCCTGGTAACTCCATTCCCCTTGCCAATGCTTAGTCTAGGAAGGTGCATCCAATACAGTTCTGTTCAATGGGATTTGATGGAAAATCTGCTGGGGGACTTCTGGAAAAGATGTCCTTGATCTTATAAAGAGATGCACATGCAAATCAAAGTCACAATGAGATACCACTTCACACTCACTAGGATGGCTAGAATTTAAAAAGTCTGAGATAATGGCAAGTATTGCTAAGGATGTGGAGAAATCAGAACCCTCATATACTTCTGGTGGGAATGTAAAATGATACAGCCACTTGACAAACAATCTGGAAGTTTCGTCAAATGATTACACATAGAGTTACCATATGATCCAGCAATTCCACTCCTAAGTATATACCAAGAGAAATGAAAACATATGTTCACACAGAAACTTGTACACAAATGCTTATAGCAGCATTATTCACAATAGCCAAAAAGTGGAAACAACTCAGATGTTCATCAGCAGACAAGTGGATACATAAAAGGTGGTATATCCATACAAGGGAATATTATTTGGTCATAAAAAAGAGAAGTGCTGATACATGCTACGACATGAATGAAACTTGAAGACATTCTGCTAAATGAAAGCAGCAGAAGCAAAAGACCACATACTTTATGGTTCCATTCATACAAAAGTCCAGAAGAGGGAAATCTATAGAAAGAAAGTAAACTAGTGGTTACCAGAGGCTGGGGTGGTGGAGGGGGATGGGAGGTGATAACTAAAGGATACGAGGTTCTTCTTGAGGTGACAAAAATGTTCTAAAATTGACTATGGTGACAGTTGCTCCTATGAATGAATATACTAAAAACCACTGAATTGTACACTTTAAATGAGTGAACTGTATGGCATGTAAGTTATATCTCAATAAAACTGTTT